TGAAGAAACGCCTGCAGAGGTCAGAGGATGTGTTTTCAAATGAGCTGGGCACCCCCCTCTGAGCCCTAACCTAATGCTTTAGGTATCCTTTGTAACTCAGTTTCGCTTGAATAAATGCTGTAATGAGGTACCCCATTTATCACCGAAATATATTATGTCCCCAAACCCTCCCCTACCATCATTCCAGGAGTGACAGATCCCTTCCTGTGACTGCCTTTTGCCTCAAAAGGGCACTTTCTAGTCTTAGGCCCAACCTTGAATTTGCCCTGAAGACACAAAATTTCAACCTAGCTGCGGCTTTATTCACTGGATCATAAGGTAACAGCTATTGGACACCTACTATGTGCCAAAAACTGTGCTCACTCACCTCATCCACCTTCATGGAACCCTTGTAAGGTGACAATGCCAGCACCTTATCGTAGAGCCCTGGGAGTGACATGGAAGTGGGTGCCATGGCGCTATGAGATGTTGGGCTGGGATCAAATCCAGGTGCATGTGAGCGACAGCCGCTCTGTGTCAACCCTGCCAGTTGCTTACGATGGCAGCTGTGCAGAGTGTTTGTTTGCTTGGTTTTTAGATTTTTTTCTGCCATAGGGCATATGCACTTATTGGGGAGAGAGACAGAGAGACAGAGACAGAGGGGAAGTGAAAAATCAACCCATCCCAGGTAGGTGGCCATAGCACGCATGTACACACGCTCTGTCTGTTTTCAGGCTTCTGGGTCTAGGACTTGAACCACAGAGTCAGCCAGTGGGATCCAGCTGCCTTAACCACCACACCACCTGCTAGCCTGTTTGCAGGTTTCTACTCCCCGAGACATGTAAATAAATCTAGAAGTGACTTATTTTTCCAAATAATTACAGTACATAAAGTAAATTCCAGCACACAATCTTATTAAAACTCCTTGAGGCCCAGCCATGATAGTAAATAGATAACACCCCAGCTGAGGAGGCTGGAAGCCACATGGAAGACCTGGGTTAGATTCCTGGGTCACCCTCAATATTCTAAGCACAGATGGGTGCACTGTGGTCCTGGCTAAGGAGGAGAAAATTCTGACACACTGAGATCCTGTCAAAAGTACGTCTCCTGGCTCTCTCTTTCTCTCCCATAAAGAAAACAAAACTCCTTGTACAAGCTCGCACCTAGGGTATTTTTAATGTCCTTCCCATAAAGCCTTTTTTTTTTTTTTTTTTTTTTTTTTTTTAATGTCTGAGCTGCCTACACTCCTGTTGCCCCACTTCCACCTCGGTTCCTACTTCTTCGGCCTGATCTCAGAACCCTTCCTTGAGTCTTCTGCCTAGACTCTTTTGCGCTCAGGGCCCCTGCATGTGCTGTTCCCTTCCACCTGGCCTGCTCTCCCCTCCACTCTGACTGACAGAGTGCTTCTCCTCCTTCCGGGTCCAGCACCAAGTGTCAGCTGTCAAAGGAGCCTTCTCACTCCTCCAGCCTAAGTCCTACCTCTCTATCACACCTTCTCAAAGTAGGCTGTGCTTCTCCTCCCAGACTGTTTCTAAGCCAGTGCACCTGGGCCGATCATCGGGGCTTACCAGGGATCTGATTCAGTCCCAGGGACCATCAACATATATTTGCTGAACCAACCAAGAAGAGGCTCAAGAACGGAGGGAAAAAAATGGCAAAGCCAATCAACTCAGAAAGTGAATTCTGGCCTATCCTTGGTCCTTTGGCCCAGTCCTTGGTCCTTTGGCCCAGTCCTTGAAAAATATAAAGGGTCTTGGGAATCAGCAGTTAGCGTAATGGCTATGTCACTGGACTCCCACGTAGTCGACCACGGTTCGCGTCCCGGACCCGGTGGCTTAAAACTCATGCCGGGCGCATGTGCGTGCGTGCCCAAGATCCTGAGAGGAGAATGGAGGAGAAGGGATTGAGGCATGGCCATCCACCCTGGGGGGTGATTTCTCGCTTTCTGTCTGTCTCTCTCTGTCTGTCTGGCGAGCGCACACACCCTATATCAAAAACCTCTCAAAAAAATATATAAAGGGTCTTCAAAAAGTGCACGCAAAATGTGTATTATGAAAAAAACTATGTGTGGATTTTAATAATTTTTGTACCAAAATAAACTCATACTTTAATTCCATTTTTCTACAAACATGTCCAAGTCTTAATGTGTCACCACCAATGGGTCCCAGGGTTTTTCTGATCTGGTCTCCCAATCATGTGAACGGAGGCAGGGACGTTCCTGGGCGAACTATGGTCTTGGTTCCATAAATATGTCTACACTGGTTTAAATGCTGGGGCTGGTGGGGGGGTAATTTTTATAGCTAGCTATTTATTTGTGTGTCCCCAGCATCCTTCTCAGAGAGGACCTGTGGCTACTTGTAGTTGTATTGGAAAATCTCAAGTCCTGGGCCCTGGGGTCCAAGAAGTCCTTTTAGGGTCTTTACCTCTGGGTCTTCTTGTGTTCCTTTGGAAAATGTCCCAACTATGGAGAAACCCCTAGAGAGTCCTTACAAATCCATTGGACAACTGCCAGGAGCTGACAGTTTTGGAAAAGGGAAGGCAGAGTAGGGAGGGCAAATTTGCAGGTATGACTCTCCCATTGGCCTCCTGCCACCATCTGTCTACATTGTTCTTCCCCTCCTCTCTGGACGGGCTTACTCAGCTCTTTAATGAGACATCCCAGGACTTGCTAGCTCCGTAGGGCACTGCACATGGCAGCAACCCCATCCCAACCTGCACACGTACTGGAGCCGTTGACTTAATCTGAGACAGAGGTTGAAATTTCCAGCTGTGTCTTCACGACAGCTACTCAGATTAAAACGGAGAAATCCAGTATTGTCCAAATGGATTAATAA